CAAGGGGTTATGTGAGATGTCATTTCATCATATCAGCGTTATGCCTGATGAAACGTAAATGGTTTAATAAACAAATACTGATGGTATTTATGTTGACTGTACATTAGGTGGTGCTGGTCATAGCTTGCGTATTGCAAGGCGTTTATCTGATAAGGGAAGGCTTATCGGTATAGACCAGGATGAAGCTGCTATAGAAGCCGCAGTGCCAAGCTTAATGAAGCGAAGCAGTCAGGAGAAATTTCCTGCCAGATTGATGTAGTGCAGAGCAACTTTAGTGCATTGGAGGATATTCTCACTCAGCAGGGTGCTGAACAGATAGATGGTATTCTGTTTGATTTGGGTGTGTCTTCACATCAGCTGGACACTGCGGAGAGAGGTTTTTCCTACATGCAGGACGCACCCCTTGATATGCGTAAGAATCAGTCCAGCCAGCTTCTCTGCATACGATGTGGTAAATACCTATGATGAGGCAGAGCTTAACCGCATTTTTAAGGAGTATGGCGAGGAACGCTGGTCAAAGAGAATTGCTGAGTTTGTGGTACAGGCCCGTAAGGAAAAGCCGATAGAGACAACTGGTGAGCTGGTGGATTATCGTGAAGAAAGGGCGATACCAGCGGCAGTGCGCAAGAATAATCGAGATAATGGCGGCGGACACCCTGCGAAACGTATTTTTCAGGCGGTTCGTATTGAGGTAAATGACGAGCTGGGTATTTTGGAAAACGCTTTTCGTACAGCGGTGAAGCATCTGAAGCCTGATGGCAGGATTGCTATTATAACTTTCCATTCGTTGGAGGAACAGGATCGCTAAAAATGTGCTGAAGGAGCTGTCCAAGGGCTGTATTTGTCCACCAAGACTGCCTGTGTGTATGTGTAACCACAAGCCAGAAATAAAGCTTGTAGGCAAGGCAAGAGCAGCTTCGGACAAGGAACTGTCGGAAAATTCCCGTTCTAAAAGTGCGAAACTTCGAATAGCAGAAAAACTTGACAATAAAGATATGAAGTGATATAATATAAATGATAGTAGCAACGAATTTTGAGAAAGGAGCGGGAGAGTGACATGTTAGCCAGAAAGGCACAGCAGCAGGGAACGTCAATATGAAGAAAAACGTCAACCTCGTCAAGGGCTGCAGCCACAAACTGGACGCAGGACCATAACAGAGCATCGTGCTATGCCTTAATGTGGCATTGCGCCGTCAGTGTTTCGTGCTTGTAGTAGTTATTTCCGCTTTGGCGATGCTGATAACAGCTCGCAGCAGTATGATTGCAGCTAGAGGCTATGAGCTGGGGCAGATACAGCAGAGTGCTGCAAAGCTAGAGATGGAGAATGCACAGCTTCAGATTGAGATTGCCAAGCTGAAGTCTCCACAGCGTATCAAGGATTTGGCGGCACAGGATTTTGGCATGAGTATTCCTACTCAGGTATATTTTGCTTCTGAGCCAGTCAGCAGATGAGACGAGTATTATTCTAATATTGTATTTTAAGGGACACTGGAGTTCAGTTGTTCCTTTTTTTATGGTAAAATTATCGGAGAAAATTTTGCTATATGTTATTTTTGCAATAAACACTTGTTATACTACGATAAATATGGTATAGTAGTAATTTAGGAATAGAATTTATTGTATTTACATAGATGACATGAAATAGGAGGAGATTTGATGGCAAAGACGTTGGGTGAGCTGGCGGCGCTGATTCCAGACTCATATATCATTGGTGACGAAAATCTTCAGATTGCAGATATTCAGCATGATTCTCGCAAGGTTACTAAGGGTACTCTTTTCGTATGTATGGTAGGTGCTCATGTAGATGGTCATAGCTTTATTCCACAGGCCAGAGAAAGGGAGCTGTTGCCATACTGACTGCCAATGAGGATGCGGATATGCCAGCAGGCTTGTCTGTACTGGTAGTTAAGGATTTGGCTAAATCCTTGCAGGTAATTGCGCCATATTTCCATGATATCCATCTCGTGATATGAGAGTTATCGGTATCACTGGCACCAATGGCAAGACCTCTATAAGCTATATGACTCGTGCTATGCTCCGTAAGATGGGCTTTAGGGTTGGTCTTATCGGTACTATACAGATTATGATTGAGGACGAGGTGCTTCCTATCCATAATACTACACCAGACGTAGTTGAGCTTCAGAGCACTATTGCTATGATGCGTGACAAGGGGATGGATTATGTTGTTATGGAGGTATCTTCTCATGCTCTGGACCAGAACAGAGTAGCAGGTATGGAGTTTGATACCGTAGTATTCACCAACCTGACACAGGGACCATCTTGATTATCATAAGACCCTTGAAAATTACAAGCTGGCAAAGGCTCGTCTTTTTGATATGGTGGGTGATAAGGCAAATGTGAAGCGTGGCAAGTGTGCAGTTATCAACATTGATGATGAGGCAGGAAAGACCATGCTGGAGCATGCGGATTGTCGTCATCTTACCTATGCTATCAATAATGATGCTTCCTTGAAGGCTGAAAATATTCAGGTTTTGGCAAGCGGTGCCAAGTTTGATATCAAGACTGAGCATGGTGTTTTGCCACTTGATTTGAAGATTACAGGTATCTTCAATGTCTATAACGTGATGGCTGCTGTTGGTGCAAGCACTGGCAGAGGGATTGCCACCTGCTGTTATCAAGGCAACCTTAGACGAGTTTACCAGTGTTCCAGGCCGTTTTTGAGCTGGTTCGCGGCGGTCAGGATTTCGCTGTTATTGTGGATTATGCACATACTCCAGATGGTCTGGAAAATATCCTGAAAACAGCGCACCAGATTGCTAAAAAGCGTATTATTACTGTATTTGGATGCGGTGGTGACAGAGATAATACCAAGCGTCCTATCATGGGCAGGATAGCGGGCTGAGCTGTCTGACGTGGTTATTGCTACATCTGACAATCCTCGTACTGAGGACCCACAGTGTATTTTGGATATGGTAGTGGCTGGTGTGCAGGAGAAGATTGGCGATAAGCAGCATGAGGATATCATCGACCGCCGACAGGCAATTTTCCGTGCTGTAGAGCTGGCAGAAACAGACGATATTGTAGTTATAGCTGGTAAGGGACACGAGAACTATCAGATTTTGAAGAATGAAACTATTCATTTTGATGATAAGGAAGTAGCTTTGGAGGCTATAGCAGCCAAGGCTTAATATTTAGTGCAGAGGTGCATTATGGCAAGCTTTACATTAGAAGAAATAATAAAAGCAACTGGCGGCAAGGTGTTAGAGCAGGTAAAAGCAGAATTTACTGATGTGGTGACAGATACCCGCAAGTTGGCAGAGGGTGTATTATTCGTTGCACTGAAGGGTGAGCGTTTCAATGGTGAGGTTTTTGCTGGTGAGGCACTGCGAAGGGTGCAGCTGGCGTACTGGTAAGCAGTGAAGCAGTGGTATCAACGCAGAGTACTGGTACTGTAATTCAGGCAGCCAGCGATACTCAGACCGCATATCAGCAGATAGCAGCCTTCCACCGTAAGAGATTTGACATACCGGTGATTACAATTACTGGCTCCAATGGCAAAACTACTACCAAGGATTTGACAGCTTCTGTTCTGGGTGCAAAAATGAAGGTCTTAAAGACACAGGCAAATTTCAATAATGAAATCGGTCTGCCTCTCACTCTTTTACAGCTTGATGAACAGCATGAAGCCGCTGTAGTTGAGGTTGGTATGCGTGGTCTTGGACAGATTGCAGCACTTGCCCCTGTGGCTGCTCCTAATATTGGTATCGTAACCAATGTAGGTGAGACTCACATGGAGCTTCTCGGCTCTATGGAGAACATAGCAAAGGCAAAGGCTGAGCTGGTTGAGGTAATTCCTAGTGGCGGTGTTGTAATTCTCAATGCAGATAATCCTTACACCGCAGCTATGGATGCGAAATGTCAGCCAGATGTGAAGGTTGTTACCTTTGGCATCGAGCAGGCAGCAGATATCAAGGCTTCTGACATAGAGAGTCTTGGCAAAGAAACCAAATTCAAGTGTGCATTGGAGAAAAATGGCGAGGCTCATGAGTTTGTTCTTCCTATGGCTGGCCGTCATAATGTGTACAATGCTTTAGCGGCTATAGCAGCAGGTGTTGTTATGGGGCTTAATGCGGAGGAGATACAGACAGGTCTGAGTCAGCTGGAAATGAGCAAGATGCGCTTTGAGTACAAGCAGATTGGCAAGTATGCTGTTATCAACGATGCCTACAACGCCAGTCCAATGTCCATGAAGGCGGCACTTGATACCATCTCTGAGGTTGCCAAGGGGCGCAGTGTGGCTGTGCTTGGCGATATGCTGGAGTTAGGTGATAATGAGGCTGAGCTTCATCGTCAGGTGGGCAGACTTGTTCCAGAGAGCGGTGTAGCTGTACTTATTGCCTATGGTAAGCTGGGTGAGGAGATTGCCGCAGGTGCCAAGGAAAAAGGCATGACTGAGGTTTACAATGCACATTCTCATGAGGAAGCGGCAGAACTTCTGCATAAGCTGCTTCATGATGGTGATACTATTTTTACTTAAGGCTTCTCGTGGTATGAAGCTGGAGAAGATTTTGGAGTTGTTATAAGATGATAGCTAATTTATTAATAGCTGGTATTGTGTCAGCACTTATCGTTATATTTACTGGCCCTGTGCTGATACCGAAGCTTCATCAGCTGAAATTTGGTCAGAGTATAAGAGAAGAAGGCCCTAAGAGCCATCAGGCAAAGAGCGGTACTCCTACTATGGGTGGTATCATGATTATAGCAGGTCTGGTACTTGGCACACTGGCTGCTTCCTGTCTGGGAGGCTTTTCTGTGCAGCTGGGGCTGGCACTGTTCATAATACTGGGGCACTTTGCACTGGGCTTCCTTGACGATTATATCAAGGTTGTTCGCAAGCATAATTTGGGCTTGAAGGCAAAGCAGAAGCTTTTAGGTCAGATTATCATGGCGGCACTGGTTGCATATTTCGGCAATCTGCCTACTGATTTATGGCTTCCATTTGTGGGAAATATAGATTTGGGAGTTGGCTTCTATGCTCTGCTGATGTTCGTGCTGGTAGGTACTACTAATGCTGTAAATCTGACAGATGGTCTGGATGGTCTGGCTTCCAGTACCGTTGCAGTAGCTGCTTTTGCATATATGGTGATATGTGTACATCTTGGAAATGTCGAGATAGCTACGCTCTGTGCTGCTACAGTAGGTGCATGTGTGGCATTCTTGAAATTCAATGCTCATCCAGCGCAAATCTTTATGGGTGATACTGGTTCTCTGGCTCTTGGCGGTGCCTTTGCTGCTATGGGAATCATGACTCATACTGAGATATTGCTGGCAGTTATTGGTATTATCTTCGTGGCAGAGGCTATGTCAGTTATAATTCAGGTTACATCCTTTAAGACCACTGGCAAGCGTGTATTCCTCATGAGTCCGATACATCATCACTTCGAGCTGAAGGGCTGGAAGGAAACAGATGTTGTTACCACCTTTAGGACAGTGGGAATGCTGGCTGGCATGATTGGTATAGTGCTGTTGAAAATTGGTATGTAATTATTGGTTAGTGGCTAGTGAATGATACCTGCTGACCAGTTAATGCTGCTCTAAAATGGGAGTGTAAAAAGTGGAATTTGCAAATAAGAAAATTTTGGTAATCGGTGCTGGCATAAGCGGTAACGCTGCAGCAAAGATGGCAATGAAATTAGGTGCTGCCGAGGTTATCTTAAGTGATGCTAAGGCAGAGAAGGATATAAAGTGGGATTTGACAGACGTAAAGGCTGCTGGCGTAAAGCTGGTATTTGGCCCACAGGAAAATAGCCTGTTAGAGGGTGTTGACCTGATTATCATGTCTCCTGCTTGTACCTGTACGTATACCTTTGATTCAGGAAGCATACAAGCGTGGTATCACTGTTACCAGTGAGGTTGAGATGGCATGGAGTCTGGCGAAGTCTCCTATACTGGCAGTAACCGGTACAAACGGCAAGACAACTACTGTTACTCTGCTTGGTCAGCTCATGCGCACCCGTTATCCAAACGCAGGCGTAGGCGGTAACATCGGTATTCCTCTTTGCGAGGAGGCTGTAAGTGCAGGTGAGAAGAGCTGTGTAGTAGCGGAGATTTCCAGCTATCAGATGGAGGCATCTACCAACTTCCGCCCACATGTGGCAGTTATGCTGAATGTAACACCAGACCATGTTGTCCGTCATGGAAGTCTGGAGGTTTACCAGCAGATGAAGGAAAAGATGTTCGCTAATCAGACTGCGGAGGATTATCTCGTACTGAACTATGATGACCTTAAAACTCGTGACATGGCTGCAAGTGCCAAGTCTCAGGTTGTTTACTTCAGCCGTAAGGAAGAGCTGGAGGAAGGCGCATTTGTTCAGGAGGACTGGATAACTATCTCATGGCAGGGACAGACCTGCCGCCTGTGCAAGACTGAGGACCTGCAGATTAAGGGGGGGCACAATCTGGAGAATGCACTGGCCGCATCTATGGCTGCATATCTTGGCGGTGCAAGAATACCTAAGATTATCGAGGTATTGAAGTCCTTTGGCGGTGTAGAGCACCGTATCGAGCCTGTAGCTACTGTGGCAGGCGTAGCATATTATAATGATTCCAAGGCAACCAATACTGATTCTGCTATTAAGGCACTGGAAAGCTTTGATGGACATATCGTGTTGATTGCTGGTGGTGATGATAAGCACACTGACCTGAGTGAGTTTATGGCACTGGTTAAGCAGCGTGTAGATGAGCTTATCTTAGTGGGTGATGCCGCAGAGAGATTTACCGAAGCGGCAAAGGCTGCTGAGTTCCCAGAGGAGCATATTCATCAGGCTGGCTACTCTATGGATAAGGCAGTAGAGATTGCACATAATATCTCAGGTGTACCACAGGTTGTACTGCTGTCACCTGCCTGTGCAAGCTTTGATATGTATGAAGGCTTTGAAGCTAGAGGCAGAGACTTCAAGCGTTTGGTAAAGGAGCTGCAGAAGTAAATGCGAATTATAGTTTCAGGCGGTGGTACTGGCGGACATATTTACCCTGCTATTACCATACTTCGCACTTTACAGAAGAAAGTAGCAGATTTGGAAGTGCTGTATGTAGGTACATCGGCAGGCTTGGAAGCAGATATCGTACCTCGTGAGGGGATTAATTTTAAGACCATAGAGCTGCAGGGCTAAGCAGTGGTATCAACGCAGAGTACTATCAGAAGAGCAGGCAAGGCTGTAGCTGGCGTGTTTAAGGCTAGAAACATAGTCAAGGAATTTAAGCCGGATGTAGTTATCGGTACAGGCGGTTATGTATGCGGACCTATTCTTATGGCAGCAGCGCTCATGGGTATACCGGTGCTGGTGCAGGAGCAGAATGTTTTTCCGGGAGTAACCAATAAGATTCTTTCTAAATTTGCTAAATGTATTGCAACTGGCTCCTATGAGGCGGTGAAGTATTTCCCAGAGGGTAAGACTGTATTTACAGGTAATCCTATCCGCTCTGATGTCATGGAAGCAAAAGCAGATGAGGGATATAAAACCTTTGGTCTTGACCCAGATAAAAAAACTATTCTGGTGTCTGGAGGCAGTCGTGGTGCCAGAAGTATCAATATCGCCATGACAGATGTACTTAAGGCTTATGCTGACAGTGAGGATGTACAGATTCTTCATGTGACAGGCAAGGGCGAGTATGAAGATACCTTGAAGCGCATAAGCGAGGCAGGTATTGATTTAGAAAAGTCAACGCACCTACAGGTAAAGCCATATCTGTATAACATGCCCACAGGCTATGGCAGTGGCAGATTTGGCGGTATTCCGAGCAGGTGCAACTGGTTTGGCGGAGCTGACAGCAAGGGGAATACCTGCTATTCTCATACCGTATCCATACGCCGCAGAGAATCATCAGGAATACAATGCAAGAGCTGTGGAAAAGGCAGATGCCGCAAGGGTGATTTTAAATAAGGATTTGGCAGATAATACCATTCTTTTGGATACCATTAACGAGCTTATCGGAAATGAACGTAAGCTGCGTAAGATGGCTGCTGCAAGCAAGATGCTGGGCAGACCACAGGCAGCAGACGATATAGCAGATATTATCATAAAATTAGCAGAAAATAAGCAGTGATTTGAGGGGGCAGTTTATTTTGCTTACAGGAATTAAGAAGGTACATTTCGTAGGTATTGGCGGCGCTGGTATGAGCGCTACTGGCAAAGATTCTTGTGGAAAAGGGCTATGAGGTCAGTGGCTCTGATTTGAAGGAATCTGTAATGACTGGCGTACTTCGTGACTTGGGTGCTGTTGTCTACATCGGACCAGAAGGCAGAAAATGTAAGAAATGCAGAGGCAATCGTTGTTTCTACGGCTATCCGCGAGGAAAATCCAGAGGTAGTTGAGGCAAAGAGATTAGGCTTGAAGAAATTGCACAGGTCTGATGTAAATGCATTCCTCATCAACAGCTGCAAAGGTATCGCTGTTGCAGGCGCACATGGTAAGACTACTACCACTTCTATGCTGGGAGTTGCTCTTGACTATGAGGGTGTTTCACCAAGTATTATCATCGGCGGCGAGGTAGATTATCTCGGCAGTAATGCAAAGCTGGGCAAGAGTGATTATCTCGTGTCTGAGGCAGATGAGAGTGACGGTACCTTCCTGAAGTATTTCCCTCATATCGGTATCGTGACCAACGTAGAAAATGACCACATGGACCACTATGGCACCATGGAAAACATCATCAAGGCATTTAAGCAGTTCTTAAGTCAGGTTCGTGAGGATGGCTGGGCTGTAGTATGCTTTGACAATGAGAATATCCGCAATATCGTGAAGGAAGCACCTTGCAAGTGTATTACCTATGCCATCGAGCATGAAGCAGACTATATGGCAGCTAATATCAGCACTGAGGGCGCAGGTATTGCATTTGATGTTATTCATCAGGGTGAGAACCTGGGCAGAGTAGCCCTGAATGTTCCAGGCCGTCACAATGTACTGAACGGTTTGGCAGCAGTTGTTACTGGTGTTTCTCTGGGCTTGACTGTACCACAGATGGCAGAAGGTCTTACCAAGTTTAATGGTGCTAAGAGACGTTTCCAGACAAAGGGCAAGAAGGATGGTATCTGGGTAGTAGATGATTATGCACATCATCCAACTGAGATTGCTACTACCTTAAAGGCTGCCCGTCAGACCAATCCAAAGAGATTGATTTGTGCCTTCCAGCCACACCGCTACACCCGTACCCAGCTGTTGCAGAAGGAGTACGGCGGCTGCTTTAAGGATGCTGATCTGCTGGTTCTGACTGACGTTTATTCTGCTGGTGAAGACCCTATCGAGGGCATTGACGGTGAGCTGCTGGTAAAGGAAGTTGCTGCACAGACTGGTCAGGAAACTGTGTATGTACAGGATAAGAACAAAATTGCTGCGTACCTGAAGTCCATTGCAAAAGATGGTGACCTGATTATGACTATGGGTGCTGGCGATATTGTGAAATGTGGCGAGGATTTGGTAGAGCTGTTGTGATGTCAGCTAGAAAAGAGGAATAATATGACTAAGGATAAAAAGATTATTGTTGTCATGGGTGGTCCATCTACCGAGGCAGAGGTATCTCGCCGCAGCGGTACAGCTATTTTGAATGCTTTGAAATCAAAGGGCTATAATGCAGAGGGCTTGGAGCTTGACCCAGTTAATTTTGCAGCTCAGATAAAGGAAGCAAAGGCATATTTTGTATTTAATGCCCTTCATGGCAAGTTTGGTGAAGATGGTGTATTGCAGGGTACTCTTGAAATGATGGGAATCCCTTACACTGGTTCTGGTGTTATGGCAGCAGCACTTACGATAAACAAGGCTGCAACTAAGCGCATGTTTGCGGCAGCAGGTATTTCAACTCCACGTTTCAAGACCTATTATCGCTATCAGCACCGTACCAGGGATTTGTTCAACGAGATTTTGAATGAATTCAGCCTGCCTATGGTGGTAAAGGCATCTTCTCAGGGCTCCAGCATTGGTGTAGTTATCGTAGAGAAGAAAGAAGAACTGGAAAAGGCTTTAAGCGATGCTTTCCGCTATGATAATGAGATTTTGGTTGAGGAATTTATTCGTGGCCGAGAGCTGACTGTGGCAGTATGGGGTAACGAAGAGCAGCAGGAGGTTATGCCTGTTATCGAGATTACCACCACTACTGGCCGTTATGATTATGATACCAAGTATAAGGTGGGTGCGTCCAAGCATATCATTCCAGCACCTTTGGAAGAGGATGTAACTAAGGCTGTCAAGGAGATGGCTTTAGAGGCGTTTAATGCATGTGGCTGTAAGGGGATCGCTCGTATCGATTTCATGCTGAGCTGGAGTGGCAAGCCTTATGCCATCGAGGTAAATACAGTACCAGGCATGACTGAGACTTCCCTTGTGCCAGATGCTGGACGTGCTATAGGGCTGGAATTCCCAGACCTGTGTGAGAAGCTGCTTCTCATGGCAGGATATTAAGTAGTTAGTGATTAGTGAATTTTATCAGTAGGAGGCGATGATTTGGAGGCAGAAATAGAGAAAAAAAGAACAATATCTCATGGTACCGTAATGAACATAATGGGCTTTATGATAGTGGGACTCCTGATTATCGCCGTAGCTTTTTCTCCTATTTTTGTATTGAGAGATATAAAAATAACAGGAAATCAATTTGTTACGGATGAGGAGATTTGCCGTATTGCCAGCATTTCATCAGGAGAGAATTTATTTCAGCTTCAAACAGATGAGATAAAGGAGACCCTGCTGAAGGATTTGCGTATAGAGCAGGTTATAGTGAAGCGGTCATTTCCAAGCGGGCTTAACATAGAGATTAGTGAGCGTGTTCCAGTGGCTATTGTGGCGTGTGATTATGGTTATCTTGATATAGGTAAAGATGGTGTCGTATTAGATGCACATCGAACATTGAAGGATATGCCTGTGCCATTGGTAACAGGTATTGAGCTGGCTGATTTATTTGTAGGAGATAAGATTTCTGATGATAAGCTTTCTCTTGCACTTCAGTACCTCGATCTGTTAGATGATTTTTCACGTCAACAGCTGTCAGAGATAAGCATAGGTGATGCGGAGCGTGTCATGGCATATACCACTAATTCGGTGCAGATACGAATCGGCAAATTGGAGCGTTTGGACGAAAAGGCAGAAATAACAAAAAGCTTTGTGAATGAATTGCAAACAGCTAAGTATCCTATTGAGTATATAGATTTGCAATATACATCACCATTTATTAAATTTAGAGAACTGTAGGAGGTGGAAGGACTTTGCAAAATATTCAAATTAGACGGGGCAGCTTGTCAGTGGCTTTTGTATGTATGATATTTGGCTTTATGCTGGCATTGCAGTTCCGAAGCACACAAGATATACAGTCCGCTCTGCCTCAACAGCAGAGAACGGAAGAATTGACAGTACGTCTTGATAAGCTTCAGCAGGAAAATGAGCATCTGCGTACTCAGGTAGCAAATTTTACTGAGGGCAGTGGTGACGATCACACTAAGGCACTGAATGACAATCTTCGTCTGGTTTCAGGTCAGACGGCTGTAAAAGGTCCGGGAATTATCGTAGTGCTTGATGACAGCACCAAAACAGCGAAAAAAGATGACCCTAATCTGTATCTGATACATGATGAAGATATACTAAAGGTCATAAATGAGCTGAAAGCTGCTGGTGCAGAGGCTATATCCATAAATGGGCAAAGGCTGGTAGCTAATTCTGAAATCCGTTGTGCCGGACCTACATTGTCAGTAAATAATGTTCGTACTGCACCGCCATTTGAGATAAGGGCTATCGGAAGTACCAAAGATCTGGTAGCAGCCATAAATATGCGTGGCGGCGTAGCGGATACGTTGAAGGTGTGGGGCATACGTCTTGACGTTCAGGAAGTACCAGAGGTGCAAATTCCTGCGTATCAGTCATCAAGTCAGTTCAAGTATGCGGTAGCAACCGATGGACAGGGGGGCGAATGATATGGCATTAGCATTTGTCGGTCTGTTCGTAGGACTTGCAGCAGGCTTGTTAGTTCCATGGAGCATTCCACTAGCATATTCCAAGCTGTTTTCGATAGCACTGCTGGCTTCATTGGACTCAGTGTTTGGTGGCTTGAGAGCAGCATTAGATGATGTCTTCGATGATAAGTCATTTATTTTCGGTTTCTTCTCTAACTCGTTATTGGCAGCATTTCTAGTGTATGTAGGTGACAATCTGGGTATTGACCTCTATTACGTGGCACTGCTGGCATTCGGTATGAGAATTTTCCGTAACTTGGGGCGTATACGTCGTTTTGTAGTAAAAAAGACCTAATTTTAAATTTTTTTATGTACTTATAGTAATATTTTTTAGATTTTAAATAAATTTTTTATAATTTGCTATAGATAATTTTAAAGAATAATGGTACAATAGTATAAGTGTGGTCGATGTGATGGAATTCTATACCATCAATCGAGAGTTAATATTTAGAAAGATTTATGGGGGTTTGTGAAAAATGGCCATTGAGTTTGACAATCCAATGGAGTTTGGTACTCTTGTAAAAATAAAGGTAATCGGTGTCGGTGGTGGCGGCGGAAATGCTGTTAACCACATGATTCGCAGCGGTGTCAATGGCGTAGAGTTCATTGCAGTGAACACTGATGCACAGGCACTGAGCAAGTCTTTAGCACCAAAGCGTATACAGATTGGTGCTAAGCTGACTCGTGGATTAGGTGCAGGTGCGAAGCCTAAAATCGGTCATGATGCAGCAGAAGAGAGCCGCGAAGAGATACTTGAAGCACTGCGTGGTGCAGATATGGTGTTTGTAACTTCTGGCATGGGCGGTGGTACTGGTACTGGTGCAGCTGGTGTAGTAGCAGCTTGTGCAAAGGAAGTAGAAGCACTGACTGTTGGTGTTGTTACCCGTCCATTTAACTATGAAGGTAAGCCTCGCATGCGTAATGCTGATTGGGGTCTGCGTGAGCTGTGTAAGAGTGTAGATACTATTATCGTTATACCTAACCAGCGTCTGATGGTAGTGGCTGACAAGTCTACTACAGTTGAACAGGCTTTTGCTATGGCTGATGATGTATTGCGTATCGCTGTACAGAGTATCTCTGATCTTATTGTAGGCTCTGGTCTTGTAAATGTCGATTTTGCTGATGTAAGAACCATCATGATGAATGGTGGTGCGGCACTTATGGGCGTTGGTGAGGCAAGTGGTGAAAATGCTGTTATGAATGCAGCTAAGGCTGCTATAAATTCTCAGCTGCTGGGTATCAACATTCAGGGTGCGCCACGTCTGCTGATGAATGTGGCAGGCTCTGGTGAGGATATAAGTCTGCTTGAGGTAAATGATGCTTCTGAGTATGTCAGTGAGCAGGCAAGTGAGGATGCGGACATCATCTGGGGTATTACCAATGACGAGACCATGGGTGATACTGTTCGTGTTACCGTTATCGCTACTGGCTTTGAGACTGAAGATGTTCTTAACATTGTGGAGGGTAATCGTATTGGTGTTCCAAAGCCACCTATAAATAATGGCGAGGCAGCAACTAATACTACTGCTAATACTGGGGTTAATATTCCACCAGTTACTAACAATACAGCATTTGGTACTCCAGCTAGAGGCAGCTTCGGTACTGGTACTAGCAATCCAACATTTGGTGCTGGTGTAAGTGCTCCAACATTTGGTGCTGGTCAGTCAGCTAATCAGCCTCCAGTGAATAATGATGTTTATCAGACCCAGTTTGGTCCAGTAAACAAGAAGTTCTATGAAGTGAATGGCATTGATGATGTACCAAGCTGGATGCGTAAGAGCTAAGATACTGGTAAATACATAATGAAAAATATTGGGGCTGTCTTACGAGGCAGCCCTTAGTGTTATCTAAATAAAATGGAGGTGGTGTCGGTGAGAAGATATACTGCTTTATTGCTAACCTCGTTTATGCTGCTGGTTATGGCTATAGGAGGTTCCATGTATTTATTAGGACACGTGGAAAATCATAAGCAGGCAGGTACGTTGCCATCCATCACAGTATATACCATGTTGCCAGTGGAAACCGTAGCACCTTTGGCTGAGGAATACGAAAGAAATCATAAGGTAAAGGTATCGTTTATTCCTATAGATGAACAGGAGCTATCTCAGCGGATAGGTGATACTGGTAAAGCAGACCTGTTGCTGGCGGATAGTGTGGTGCTAAACCATATGGCTGCCGCTGGCTGGCTGGTACCATATCATTCAGAGGTTGGAGATGCCGTCAGTGATGAGCTGAAAGATCCCAATGGTTTTTGGATTGGTACATGGTATGATCCTATGGTATTTTGCCTGAACAGGGATTATGTTGCAAGACAGGAGGTATTGCCTCTTAGCTGGCAGGAGTTAGCAAACAGTACTGCAAGAGTAGGTATTACTGACCTATTGGCGGCAGATGCGGCATCTAATCTAATGTTTTCGCTGGTATCGCAATATGGTGAGGAAAATACTATAAATATGATGAAAAAACTTCATCCAAGAACAGTTCAGTATTCCAAATATT